TTTCGATCAGAACGCACCGGACTAACGGATGCCATTGGAGAAATATCGCCTGAAAACATAGTTGATCGAATGATAAGCAGTGAGGCGGCCTGGAATCACGTAAAAGCCTATGTTGGAACGATCTTAAGGTCAAAGAAAAACGATCTTGATAGACGAGAAACGGACGCGTCGTAGAGCTTTGCATTGAGAGGCGAGCGCATGTCGCGCAGGAGGCCCACTTCGAAGTAGCCAAGATGTGCGAAAGCGAAGAGAACTGGAGAGCAGTAGCCGCTTTTATCGGAGACATTCTGCGCTTGAAGAAATTAGACCTTGATGCAAGGGTATAAAAAGGGCAGGCTGGACGCAGACCATCAGACGGGCTCTGGGGATCGCCTCTCCTTGGGTGCCAATGGATATTTTCTACGGTATATATTGGCATTTAAGTAGAGGCGAGCCTTAGAGCTTTGTATGAGTAGATGAACGCGCATCGCGCGCAAGAGGCCCCACTTTGAAGTAATGCGGAAGCTTTTCCGAAGTGGATACAGGCCTGATGAGGAGGGGTTTTTAGTGGGTGCAAGCCCCACATACCCACATACGACGGTAGTGTGAGATGCAAAAGGCATTTTCCCCCCTCAGCCCAAAAAAAAAAAAAAAAAAAAAAAATTTTATTATTATTATTATTATTATTATTATTATTATTATTATTATTATTATTATTATTATTATTATTATTATTATTATTATTATTATTATTATTATTATCGGGACTATTTCCCGAGCAATGGAAACTGCAACGGCTGGTTCTGATAAGCAAGGGCAAAGGAGATCCCTTATCGCCATCAGCATATCGACCATTATGTATGTTAAATACTACAGGAAAGCTCCTAGAAAAGATGATCAAACCTCGTCTAGCAGCAGCAGTTAACAGAGCCGGAGGACTCTCTCCTATGCAGTTCGGTTTTAGACCAGGGAGGTCCACAATAGGGGCAATTCAAAAGGTATATTACGAAGCACTACGAAGTCAACAAGGAAATCACTACTCGAGACCTATAGTACTCTTAGCAACACTGGATGTCAAAAACGCTTTTAACAGCGTTAAATGGGAAAATATTACAGACGCACTAGAACAGAAATTCAAAATCGGTGGATACCTCTTGAAAATATTACAAAGCTACCTCGAAAACAGAAAGCTACTGTACCAAACAAAGGCAGGCGAGAAATGTGTAAAGGTAACATCAGGAGCAGCGCAAGGATCAATACTGGGACCCGAGCTATGGAATATTAGCTACGACGAAATACTGCGCATAGAAATGCCGGAAGACACGACCTTAGTAGGATACGCAGACGATATAGTTGCAGTTATCTCGGCTCGTAACCCCGAAAACATACAGCGTAAGCTAAACCAGGTGATGCGCCGGGTGAAAGGATGGATTGACAATAACGGTTTGCAGCTGGCCACGGAAAAAACCGAGTTGTTGCTAGTAACAACGAAGCAGTTTCCACTAGAAATAGATATGAGAGTAGGAGAAAATATCATTAGGACGCAGAAAGTGATAAAATATCTAGGAGTTCGTCTTGAGCCCAAACTGACGTTTAAGGCTCAAATTCAGCACGCTAAAAGCCGAGCGACCGACACTGCAAAATCACTTAGCAGACTCATGGCAAACATAGGTGGACCAATCCAGTCGAAACGCAAACTCCTAATGGAAGTGAACCACGCAATCCTGCTTTATGGATGTGAGGTTTGGGCTAACACCCTACGCGTAAAGTGCAGACTTAAACCCTTGCTCGAAGTTCAAAGGACAATAGCATTGAGGATAATCAGCGCCTATAGAACGGTATCAGGATCAGCAGCTCTAGTCACTGCGGGTGTAATACCGATCGATCTCTTAGCAAGAGAACGCCAAAAAGTCTACCAGCTAAAACAAAGTGGAGTAGCGACAAGACAAACAAAAGAGCTGTGCAGAGAAGAGACCCTGAACTTGTGGCAAAATAGGTGGGAGCATGAATGCTCGGGAAAATGGACAGCTAGGCTTATACCCAATCTCAAGGGGTGGACAAAAAGGAAACACGGAAACGTTGATTACTACCTAACTCAAATGCTGACCGGCCACGGCTATTTCCGGGCCTTTTTGCACACTATCGCGAAAAGCTCACAAGCTACGTGCATTTATGAAGACGCCGAGAGGGACAGTGTAGAACACACTATATTCCATTGTGAGCGGTTTCGATCAGAACGCACCGGACTAACGGATGCCATTGGAGAAATATCGCCTGAAAACATAGTTGATCGAATGATAAGCAGTGAGGCGGCCTGGAATCACGTAAAAGCCTATGTTGGAACGATCTTAAGGTCAAAGAAAAACGATCTTGATAGACGAGAAACGGACGCGTCGTAGAGCTTTGCATTGAGACGAGAGCGCATGTCGCGCAGGAGGCCCCACTTCGAAGTAGCCAAGATGTGCGAAAGCGAAGAGAACTGGAGAGCAGTAGCCGCTTTTATCGGAGACATTCTGCGCTTGAAGAAATTAGACCTTGATGCAAGGGTATAAAAAGGGCAGGCTGGACGCAGACCATCAGACGGGCTCTGGGGATCGCCTCTCCTTGGGTGCCAATGGATATTTTCTACGGTATATATTGGCATTTAAGTAGAGGCGAGCCTTAGAGCTTTGTATGAGTAGATGAACGCGCATCGCGCGCAAGAGGCCCCACTTTGAAGTAATGCGGAAGCTTTTCCGAAGTGGATACAGGCCTGATGAGGAGGGGTTTTTAGTGGGTGCAAGCCCCACATACCACACATACGACGGTAGTGTGAGATGCAGAAGGCATTTTCCCCCTCAGCCCACAAAAAAAAAAAAAAAAAAAAAAAAAAAAATTATTATTATTATTATTATTATTATTATTATTATTATTATTATTATTATTATTAAAATTATATATTATTATTATTATTATATTATTTTTTTTATTATTATTATTATTTTTGTTTTATTATTTATATTATTAATTTTATTATTATTATTATTATTATTAATAATCTGCATGGCAAAGTGTCTGGTTGGCTTTAACATGGCAAAGCCCAGCATGATCCATGCAGAACTGCTTCAAGTATCTCACCGCCTCCACGTGGCGGTCCCGGGATCTTGTATCTCTGTCAACCGACAAGGTACTTGCGAAGGTGAGAAGGCGGCTTTTAAATCCCGTTAGCGTCTGTTCCCGAAGAGGGCGGCGTCTGGGTTAGCGTCTGTCCCATATTGGGCGGCTACACAATTGTCTTTTTGCAGATCGGCAGACACTAAAGAAGGTCCCCCGCTGATGACATCGGCATTCCAACACCTGAGTACCCAGGTTGAAACCCTGGTTAAATGGCTGCTGGGCTAATGCTGAAGTTACCTCCGTCCTTTTAAAACTTGGCGAGTCTTTAAATACGTTCTAATCACATCATCGCAGAACCGATGGTACAGGTGCAGTTGAGACAACTCCTGCTTAACATCCGTCCTGGCTCTGAACGCAGGTACCCATAAGGACCTGCGTCAACCCTCGCATGAACCTCACTGCTTGCATAGGGACCCATGGGGGCATCGTGGAGGACTGTACATATGTGAGGAGATAGCGACTTAAGGTTTGGACCCATATAGCATGCAGAACAATAGAAAACCCCAAGAAGAAGAGAGAGGAGCATTCCAGAAGAGTAGAAAAATGATGAGGTCGCCAGATCAAGGCGTTACAGAAGAAGGAAAGTCGGCGCAAGTGGTTCATCTGGAGGAACAACCAAACCCATCTACGGCAATACTGCACGAGGATCAGCAAACCCCTGCTTCGACCCAAGATGTCAGACCTGCGGTAGGTTCCCCAAGACAAGAGCTCATCTATAAAATGAGAGCACTAGAAGAGGAAACGATTGAGAAATGCAGAGCAGTGCTTCGAAAAATGAAGCATGCGATGCTAAAGCAGCGAAACATCAGTATGGATGTGAAAGACGGAGCGTCAGAACTGAGCGAACTCCTTGATATTGTCGGAAACTACAGGAAAAGCTGGTTGACAGCCGAAACAGAGAGAGTCAAGGAAACGAACTTAGCGGCTGAAGCCAACAAACAGCTGCAGGAAACTGACACACCAGTTTCGTCCCGCAAAAAGCGGTCTGCTTCTAGCCCGGCCGAGCAAGAGGCATTTAAAAAGCCGAAAAGTAAGGAAGCGAAGGACGACTTTAAAACAGTGACTCGGAAGAAGGGAAAACCCAAAACATCTCAAACAGAGGAAACGAACAAAGCTGTTAATGTTAAGCCTGAGAGGAAAGGAAAAAACTCTAAAGTACGGTCAAGATCCCACCCAGAAGCTGTTTTGGTCAAGCCCGCAGAAGGCAGGAGCTACGCCGAGGTATTGAGGGAACTTAGGGAAAACTTGAAGCCTGACGAGACCGATACAGCCATCCGCTCAGTCAGGAAAACCAAGTCAGGGGATTTGCTTCTCGAGTTAGCAAAAGGAAGTAAGTCTGAGAAGCTTTGCGAAAGCATTAAGCACACGCTCAAAGAAAATGCCACAGTGAGGACTATCAGGCCGCTGAGCAAGTCGGAGATACGAGACCTAGACAGTCTGACAAACGAGGAGGAAGTCATAACTGCAATCAAGTTCATTATAGGCGAGCAGAGTCAGGAAGTCAAAGTGAGACTAACTGGCGCAAACAATTCTGAGCAAAAACGTGCATTCGTTATATTACCAACAGAAGAAGCAGCTAAAATTCTTAAGGAGCCAAGAATCAAGATTGGATGGACGCGATGCCGAGTGAAACGGTGCATCGAAGTTACACGCTGCTTCAGATGCTTTGGGGTAGGCCACCTACAAAGGGATTGCTCGGGACCAGACAGGAGAGATCTCTGTATTAGGTGTGGAGAGACGGGGCACAAGATGAGAAACTGCACGAAGACACCGAAATGTTGCCTGTGTGCATATGAAAACCGCACGGATCTCAATCATTTCCCTGGGACGAGTAACTGCGCAGCCAGTACCCGCAAAACCCAAATATGAAAATCCTACAAGCAAACCTTCACAGAAGCCGTATAGCAGATGACCTGCTGTCCCAAATAGTACTGGAACATTGCGTGGATTTGGTTATAATCTGCGAACAATACAGAGTGAAACAACCCGGTATCTGGCTGGAAAATGAAGATAAGACTGCAGCTATATGGATCCCAGCTACGGGTGACATACGATGTCTCGGCGATGGCAGAGGTAGCTGCTACGTATATGTACAACTTAAGGAATTCACCATATTCAGTTGTTATCTAACCCCGAACGATACAATAGAAGCTTTCCAACATAAAATCGATGACATTGAAGACATAGCTCGGCAAATGCATGGAAGCCTTATAGTAGCTGGTGACTTCAACTCTAGAGCAGAAGAATGGGGCATGCCTACAACCAACAGCAGAGGCCGAAAAATTCTTAATATGTCAGCAAGAGTTGGACTGGTAGTCGCTAACGTGGGCAGAGCTCCGACGTTTCAGCGAATGGGCCAAACAGGCACAATACCGGATATAACGCTAGTGTCAGAGAACTCTGCGCACAGAATATTAGACTGGAAAGTCTTAGACATCTACAATGGAAGCGACCACGAGTACATATCTTTCAGTACTGAAGGAAGTTCGGCTCATCATGTAGGAAATCAAATAAGAACTAGTCACCGATGGAATGTTAACCGACTAAACCAGAACCGCTTAATAGGAGAAATTGACAGGAGTCAAATCGATAGCAATGAGAGAACTAGCGTGGAGAGCGTTGTTAGCAGCACTATGTATACCATAAAAAGAGCTTGTGATGCTTCTATGCCAAAGTCTGGCAATCCCCACAGGAGAGGAGCAGAGGTATACTGGTGGACAGACGAGATAAGTGCTTTAAGGGAGACTAGCCTCCGCTATAGGCGTCATCTCACACGAGCTAGGAGAAGCGGAAACTTCGCTACACAGGAGGAGGAGTACAAGAAGGCGAAAAAGCTTCTTAATATTGCCATTCGCATAAGTAGACGAAATAAATGGAAATCCCTCTGTAATGACGTTAACAAGGACCCATGGGGTCTGGGGTACAAACTCGTTATGAAGTAGCTTAGGTCAAGAAGTACTCTGCCTGTGGGCAACCATGCATCCAGACCCATTGTGCTTTTGGCGACACTAGACGTCAAAAATGCGTTTAATAGTGTCAGGTGGTCGGACATGATCGATTCGCTAAACAGACGTTTCCACATCCCAGAATACCTGATGCGGCTAATAGACAGCTATCTACAGAATCGAAAACTGATTTATCTGACAAGAGGAGGCGAAAAACGGATGGACATCACCTCGGGTGCAGCTCAAGGATCCATACTAGGACCGGAACTGTGGAATATCAGTTATGACGATATCCTCAGCACAGAAATGCCTGATATGCGGATGACATAGTCGCAGTGATTCCAGCACGCAATACTGAGTGCGCCCAACGAATACTAAATCAAGTAATGATCCGTGTAAACGAATGGATGGACTCTCGTGGCTTACAGCTGGCCTCAGAAAAAACTGAGCTATTGCTAGTCACCAGAAAGCAGATGCCACTAGAAATAGAATTAGGGCTCACTGAGACAACTATTCGGTCACAGAAGTCAATAAAGTACCTTGGGGTCAGGCTGGACTCTAAACTGACCTTCGGACCTCTAATTAATAACGCTAGAACCAAGGCTGCAGAGACAACAAAATCTCTTAGTAGACTTATGACTTATGGACCATTATTATTTGAAGATGTAGCTATAACTGTAGGTTGGGATAACCTTCAAAAATATAATTACGCAAAACAACTTTTAAGTGGAGCAGCTAAGCTTTTCATTAGAAGTTTGACAGGAGTGCGAGGTTGGAATAAACTTAAGTCCGAGCTGGAAAATGAGTTCGGGAAGCAGTTGTGTTCGACAGATGTCCACAAAATGTTAAGACTTAGGGAGAAAAAAGTGACAGAAACATGTCTACAATATTTATATTATACAGTCTAATGGAATTAAGCCAACCTATTAAGCTAGAAGAAGAAAGCTTAGTATCATACTTTATTGAAGGAGTCCCTGACAGCAAAGCAAACAAAGCCGGCTTGTATAGATATAAAACCGTAAAGGAGCTCAAAGTTGAAATAGAAATCTATGAGAAAATAAGAGGAAATGCTGCAAATAAAGAAGAAAAGAAAACTAATTCTCACCATAACCAGAGGCAAGTTAAGAAAATGCAGAGTAGTTCGACCAGAAAGTGCTACAAATGCGGAAAGGAAGGACATTTCGCTAAAGAATGCGTTGACCAAGTAATTTGCTACAAATGCCATAAAACCGGCCATATTGCTAAGCAGTGTGAAGAAGTGAACAGTCGTCCACGGCCAAGAAGAAAGCAACAAATGTAATTGAGGATAAATCCCCAAAGGAAACTTAAGCGCACAGAATATTAGCTTTACCGCAATGATAGATTCTGGCAGCGATCTAAGTCTCATGATAGAAGATGTGTTCAACAAATTTGACAGGCTGCACTCAGAAAAGAAATCAAGCATCTTAAATGCATTGGAAGAGGTGAACTGATTACCACAGGATGTTTTGACTTAAACGTTCTTGTTGACAATATAAGCTTTACAATAACTTTTCACGTAGTTAAACAAGAAGAGTTTGAGTATACGGCTATTGTTGGCAATAATACACTGCAGAAGGTTGTCATATTGTTCAGTACAAAAGGAGTCAGATTCATTGCAAAATCCACTGAAGACGTATTTGCTGAAACTTTTAAGTCGATGTGTGTGACAGAAATGATTGAACAAAAAGCAGTAGATAGAATCGACTTAAGTCATTTAGAAAAACTGATCACGGGATACAAACCGAATCAGTAAATTAAGTCGCCAGTCGAAATGAAAATAATATTGGAAGATGATATCCCAATATTTCAACATCCGCGTCGAACATCTTACGAGAACCAGATTTTAATCGAAAAGCAAGTTTAGGAATGGCTAGATGCAGGAATCGTAATTCCCAGCTGCTCAGAGTACGCATCTCCCGTGGTACTAGTGTCGAAAAAAGATGGCTCGAAACGTTTTTGTTGTGATTACAGAAGGCTTAATTTGAAAATAAAAAGAGACTATTTTCCCATGGCATTAATCGATGACGTGCTAGATCGCTTGCAAGGCTCAAAAGTATTTACTACCTTAGATTTAGCCAACGGATTTTTTCACGTACCTGTCGAAGCAGAGTCCAGAAAATTTACTGCCTTCGTAACTCACAACGGGCAATATGAGTTTACACATGTCCCGTTTGGTATAAGCAACTCCCCCGCAGTATTCTGTCGTTATGTAGGAGCCGTACTAATAGACCTGATACAGTCCAAGAAAATTGTCGTATACATGGATGACATTATCATACCAACAATTGATGAGGATACAAATTCGGGATTTAACACTTTGAAAAAAATATAATTTTTATTTATCAAAATAGTGTAAACGCGAACTGGGAGAGACAGGTCTGCTCCTTACAAGATTCAACTTAAAACTCAAACTTAAAAACTAAGCTGGCGCTTATCAAACCTTCGATTGGGAGAAAGAACTTTATTGATAAATTGAGAGTGTCCAAAATGAGAGCACTGAGCAAGAGAGCGATCTAGGTTTGAGCTGCGTCTGCAATTTTACAGTATTGGGGGATATGTGGGTGTGGGTATGTTTCTTCCCCATCCATTAGAAAAAAGCCTGTCCTCAGGCGGATATATTAGGGTATATGTGAGTGGGTATATTAGTTTGTGTAGTATTTTCGTTTAATTGTAGGGTATTTTCATTTGGTGCAATATTGTTTAATTCTGTTAGATTTTCTGGGTTCTTAGTATTGTTTTTGTTTTGATTTTTATATTTAATTACAATGTTTCTCGGAATACTCTTAAATTTATAGATGAAGTAAATAATATTAATTATGGTTATTACAATTAAAATAGTAAGTATTATAATTTGAAATGTGTTATTTTTTCTTGTATGTATTCTTATTATATCTTTTGCTTCAATTATTGACAGTGGTTCTATCATTGATACATTATTGTTAACATAAATAGTTTGTGTGTAATCCATTATAGTATTTGTTATTAAGATTTCTTCGCTTTGTACAGAACAATTAAATGCTTTTACGATTTTATTTCCTTCGACAACTATTGCTTGATTTATACATGTTTGGTTTAAAATAGTTTTCGGTAATTTCCAAGTAATTATAATATTTGGCTCTATATAATTTGTTTCATATTTTTTATACATTTTTGTGTATTTACATTCGGCATTGGCTTGGTTTAATATTCCTATAATGCATTTATTTGTAACTCTTTCTTTTGTGTTAAATGAAAATATTTGATTATTTTGAAAATAGTATTTGTCTTCTAAAGGTTCTGTTAATATGTCATTAAATTCATTTGGGTAAAGCAAAATTTTGAATATTGAAGTTTTTATAATGTCTTTTGGGATATGAGAAATTATCAATATTTGATTAGTATTGGTTTGTAACCAAGTAGAGGTTTTTATTTTTATTTTAATTTTTCTGAATTAACATGTGTTAAAGTATCATGCTTAAGTAATTTAGGTTAAAAATGCCTAGTCTAGTAAGTTGCATTCCTAGTTCTATGACCTCTATATATTCAGTAAATTCTTGTAGATTAAAAATAAGTAATGCTAGCCTTTCGTCTACATCATTGACCAAGCTTAACAATAAATCATTTTATTGTTTCAATACCTTTGCTTACCGCATCTATTACTTTATTAAGTTCATTAACTTGAATTGTGTTTTGTTCTAAATTTTCAATTTTATTTATTAATTCTTCTTTATCTTGTTCATCTAATGTTCCAAATAGATATTTGTATGTTGTGCATTTAAAATTTATAAGACCTCTTTTGCTACGTTTTGCAATTCTAATTCCATTTATTTCTCTGTTTAATTTCTCTGTTAAGTATATAATTTGTTTTAAACCTGAAAATTCTTCTGATTGTTTAATTAAATTAGTATACGTTAGTTCAGTTTTGGTTAAGTTGACGGTTAAACAATGATATTCGTAATTAGTTGGTAAGTCCAAAATTTCTGTTTTAAATATTAAATAACCGTTTTTTGCTTGAAGGGGATTGATTTCCAAATTTTGGCCATTGGTAAGTTTTGTAAAATGTATTAAAATTAATAAGATGTTGATAGTGCTGATCAACAAGTTAGGTTTGGTTTTCATTTGGCGTGCATCTGCAATTATCGTATTTATTTTCGTTAATTTTCTTTGTTTTCTTATATTTAGACTTATAATGTATTATTTTTCTTCCTCTGTTAACTTCTTCGTAATGATTATCATCTAATTTTGTGATTTTTCCTGTCTTTTTAAACGGATTAGTGGTTTTTGATTTTACTAGTGGAGCTTGTCTATATCTAGTATCAAATTCAAATTTATTTCGTGATTCATTTAGTTTTTCTATTTTATTGATTTTATTTGACTGTGTATTATATTTTGGAGTTCCAGCGAAAATAAAAATATTTGCAGGAGTTCTGCCTGTCGTGTTATGTTTTGTTTTATGATTATAGACATAAAGAATAATTTCAAATTTTGTTAGCTTATTTTCTATGTCTGTTTCACTGTTTATGATTCTTAACTTTTCATTTACCGTTTTATGAAATCTCTCTTCGTCAGAAATTCCATTTTTGCTTGTTGTTATATCAATAACAACATCTTCAGATTTTAACCAAAGTTGCAATGCTGCACACATGAAAGCTGAATCTTTGTCTGCTTTAATTTGGCTTGGTTTACCCATTTCATTGAAAACTTTAGTTAATGCTCTTTTTGCTTCTAACCAATCTCGACTGTTGACTTCTATTAAGATGGCAAATTTTGAATAAATGTCTATACAAGATAAATAATTTTAATTGTTTATAATCTATCATATAAAAATCAATGACATATTTTTCTCTTGGATTAAAAATTTCTGGAGTTATTTCGAATTCTAATTATTATTTCTGTGTTCTGTTTTTGCGATGTTGCATACTTCGCATTCATTAATAAAATTTTGAATTAATTTTTGGTGATCGGGAAAATAATATTTTTCTTTAAAAAGTGCTCTTTGTTTTTCTATTCCTGGATGTAATATTTCTCTGTGTGTTTTAATAATAATTTCTTTGAATTCTGCGTAAGTGTTAATATCTATTAATTTACTATTAGTTTTCATTGTTTTAGTTAAGTTATCTGGGGAAATAATTTCAAGGTATGCCTTTTGAAAAATTAAATAGTCTGTTTCATTTGGAAAATATATTACGCTTTTCTTATTAGAAAAGTATTCAATTATTAATTGTTTTGCGTATTCCATTGTCATCTCTTTATATGTTATTATGATTTTTGTTTTATGAAAATAATTTATTACTTCGACTTCATTTAAGTCTCCTCTTATAAATTCTAGT